TCAAACCCACCAGCCACTCCTCGGAAGGAAGGTTGGGCAATCCTACTTCCATAGTGATACTGCCTTGGAAACCAAGGAGGGGTCGCTATGAGTCGGGTTTGACTCGACGGCACATAACAACAAACAACAACAACCTATCCTTCTCTCTGATTGAGTTTTCTCCATAACACTTAGCCAATTTGATATATGACATGTTTTATTGGTTTATTTGTTTAATTTTTGTCTCTCCCAACTAGAATGCAAATTCTATATGGGTAGGACTTAAAACAGTATCTGGCAAATAATAGATGCTCAATAAATACTTTGGGACTGACTGGACCATTATATCAATTACACAAAAATAAACCCAACAAACAATGCAATGCACTGCCAAAGAGTTGGATCGACTCATATTGAACCCTTTTTGGGTTTCCAAGGTGGTATCACTACAGAAGTAGATTGCCCAACCTTCCTTCCGAGGAGTGGCTGGTGGGTTTGAACTGTCAGCCTTCTGGTTAGCAGTCAAATGCCTTAGGTACTACACCACCAGAGTATAATTTAAATTTTTTGTGTCAAAAGAAACACTTGTGAGTATGAATAAATAAAACTCAAAGATTTGATCAAACATTTTAATGCCAATTTTGCCAATATCTTTGGAGGTTTTTCTGTGCTTTGCTCAAGTAATGTTGTTGATTCACAGACTGAAATAAAAGAAGAAAGTTTATGAAAAATAAACAAAAAACACTATTTCCTTGTACTAGAGGACCAATCCAAACTCAGAAAATTTAGCAGTTTAACTAAAGCATCCTTATTGGATCAATTTCAGAGTCTGAATTTGAAACTGTATTTTAACTATTTTTTATAAACAACAACAACAAAAAAAAACAGTTGCCTCAATCCTAGAGCAATTTCAATATTTATCCCATCTATGTGTATATGTTTGTATCTGCATATAGCAACTACAGGGAATGTAAAAGCTTTAGAGAAAATTTAAAATAAAATAGTATGATTTTAAAGGAGGAAGAAATATGTTTCCAAGTAAACGCATATAGAATTGATATTATATTATGAAGTGTGCCTGTAGTCAAAAAAGAAACAGTAAACAGAACATGGTGGGAGTTCCATGTTTTTCCTTTGGCAATGGCTTCCAGATGAAACTTGCTTATTTTATAAGAGATGCCTCTTTTTTTTTTTTTTCCTAGCTGCCAGTATTGCAAAATCCATCTGAGATCTGACAAAAATAAAGCTATATCTTTTCTGCATCCTAAATCATGACTAAGACCTGAAATTCTACAACTGGAATTTAATTGAACAGTTGGTTGATTATGTGTAAAAAAGGACAAACATTGGTTTAGCTATTTCACATCTGTATTAAGCAGTTTTAGTAGCAGTTAAAAAATCTATTTTTTTTTTTTTTGTCTAAAAACACTAGCACATATGTCTTTAAAACATGCATGGAAGAAAATTAGTTAAATGTGAAATAAGGATGTGTGGTCTGAAAATCAGACCACAGAACTGTGAAAGATCTGCTTTTATTTAAAGTTTCTTATTTCTCCCAGTTACTTGTAATGGACACATAATCATCTTCTCCCCCCGTCCTTCATTTTAGGATATAAAAAATGTTACTTTTTTAAATAAAAGAGTTAAAAATGTTTAGGGAAAGTTCTGAATAAATTTATGAATACTCATGTTATACCTAATTCGGCTTTGTGCTGATTTTGCATTTCTTATCCACAAAATTTACTTATTTTATAAAACCACAGGACAGAGACACCCTCCTCCTAATTTCTCCAGTGGGAGAGTGGCCAGATTATCACAGGCAACAGCTAATACACACAAAAACAATTCCACAAACTTTCCAGTGATGGAACAACATTAAAATTGCTGAGCATGGTTCAGGATTTCTTGCAGTTCTAAAGTCAATTTGCATGAGATTATGCTAATTCTAAAGACCACATTAATTCTCTGAGTCACCTGTGTCTTGTCTGATTTTTTTTTAATTGATGTTTTAATCTTTAAGAAACTATCAGAAAATGAAATAAATAAATAAATAAATGACTGGCCTGTCCATCCTTGTACCAGCTGAGGGAGGCAGAAGGAATTGCATAAGCTTCACATTCCAGAGTCAAGGTGTTGTTTACTTTGATTTTCACTTCTTTAGGAGAAAGACCTAGCCCCAAGAGGTCGTCTTTATTGATTATAGGTGGAACTGCATAATAAAGAATATTAAAAACTTAAATATTGGTTCTTTTAAATAAGTAGGATACCATGGAAATCACACAGGATCACATAATAAGAAAATAAGGAGATAATAGAGGAATTTCTTATGCTCCCTTTTCATGAAGGACCTAAATAAGCAGCAGGAAGGACCTAAGATAGCAGTGTTCATATATAAAATGCAAAGGAAAATAATACTGCCAATGAGGCGAAAGCCCTTCACAGAGCATTTATATCTTCTCCAGGTCCACAGACACAGCCTAGCACAACCCATAAAGTGCATGCTATTGATCATCAAAGGTCTGAGTAAAAGAACAAAAAACAATCAGAATGATATTCTTCCTTTATAGGGAGAAAAATCTCAAAACTTAGGACCTATTAATGGTATTATTACTTTTATCTTTTGCTTATAAGTTGATGTACATTGCAATAGCCCAAAGTCACCAGTGAACTCACTTTGGGACTGTTGTCTGGAGCCTTTAAACATGAAGAAACTATAACTCAGCCCAGAGGGTAATTCAGAAGGAAAAACAGGGAAACTTAAGGAAGTGCTAATGGCAAGTTCTTCAACAAGAGGTTAGTGAGCAAATTGAGTGGGTTGCTCACATCTTTAAGCAATTGAGGTCATGGTCATGATATTTAATTCAACTTCTATTTTTAATGAAGCAAGCTGCATAAACAACAATCTTTAATGATAAGTACCAATCATTATGAACCCATAATCAAAAACAGGACTGAAAAGGTTAGAACAACTGGTGAAGATATGAAAACATGGTGCTGTTTCAGAACTTACTGTAGACCTTCACTTCATAGTGCTTTATCATTTCCCCAGCCTCATTAGTAGCTACACAAGAATATCTTCCAGCATTGTCCTCCTGTGCATTTAGGATCTGCAAAGTCCTGCCTCCTGAAAAACCATGGAACATCAAAGCATCTCTGGAATCACAGTAGCAGCAATATATAATCAAATAACCACAGTTTTAGTTCTTATTAGCATATTTCTTTTTATACAAGCCAATTCTGTGATAGACATTTGACATAGGACAAACTACAATACAGACAGGAACTGCACAGCACATGATGACAGTCACTACTCCTCAGTGCTCTTTTGTGATAATGACTCTCACACCCATTCTGTCCCTCTCATGATTGCTACACTACTCTAGCCAAGACCCTTATTTCACTGTCTTCATAAGCAGGCCCTCTGCCTTCATCCCCTCCCTCCTTTCATTCATAAGCTTATCAGTAGAAATTAATCTGCTAAAACAGTTTTTACTGTGGTTGTTCCTTCACCAAAAATCTTCCATAGTTCCCGAATAGCTAAAATATAAAGTCAGAGTACTTTAAGCCAGACATTCACAACATGACTCCAGCTTTCCTTCCTTCACATATAGTCTCTGCTCAAGCCAGAGGTGAGGAGTCTACTTATTACCCCTTGTATATGGCTAGGCCATTTGTACTTTTTATTTTTCCCATACTAGTATCCTGTTGTATCTGAAATTTCTGCTAAACTTACTTACCAATCAGTTAAATTCTGTAAATGTCTTTGAATTCTGGTTCAAGTTCTGACTGCAAAAAGTTTTTCCTGATCACTTGCGTCCATGGTGACAATTTCATCTTTTGAATTCTTATAAAATGTGTTACTACTCCTATTTATCTTACTTTGGATTATACACGTTCCATGAATATTCACAGATTTGTGTTGCTAATTAATTTTTCACACGTATGTCTCCTCTGCATAAGACTGTGTTTCTTAAAGTCAGTGATCATACCTTTTACTTCTTTCTATCCCCATAGTGCAGGTCATAGGAGGAATAAATAAATTCTCTTTACGTAGATACTAACTCTTCTTTAAGGTTCAATTCAACAAAAATGAATTTTTATTCTTTTGTCATCTTACATTTTAATATATTTAAGCTATTAATTACATTGTTGGTGCAGTGGTTAAGTACATAGCTGCAAACCAAGAGGTTGGTGGGTCAAACTCATCAGCCTCTGTACTCCATGGGAGAAAGATGTGGTGATCTGTTTCTGTAAAGATTTACAGCCTGGGAAATCCTACAAGGCAGTTCTACTCTGTCTTGAAGGGTCACTATGAGTTGAAATTGATGCAATGGCAGTGGGTTTAGATTATAAGTTGCACACAAATAATTAAAAATTTATATCAATAGAACATCATACAACCTACATCACTGGCATATTTTTAAAAATAACCAACAATTTTGCTTTTCTATAATAACAGACGAAGTAAATAAATCTTAAGAATAAGATAAGTAAGATAGTTACCTGGAAGAATCCTAATATTTCGGTTGGACTCTAAAGGAGCTCCATCTTTAAACCAGGTGATAGTAGCTGGAGGATATGAATAAGCTTCACAGACCAAAGATGTGGGGTTGTTAAGAATAACAGTGACATCTTCAGGGCTGCCATCATTATTGACACCAGCAATTGTAGGAGATACTAAACAGATTTAAATACAATCAAAGAAATATATTTAGAAATTTCTGTTTGTGAATTTCTAAACTTCCATCGTACCTAATTGCACAATTCTATTCTCTCACAAATACAGAAAACAAATGATTTCTGTTTTTAATCTACCCAAAAGCAGTGAGATCTCTAAAAATAGTTCACAGGGTAATGGAGGTTACATGGATATAAACAAGCAACACTAACACAATGGAGTAAAGTCAGTCATGGCAATTTTGGCTTGGCAGGTATGGAGATATGACATTCAATTCTGTCTTAGATATGGGGTATGAGAACTTCATCAGAGAAGGCCTGCTACAAGAGACATTCAAAGTGAACCTTAAAAGATTAGTGGTAGTTAGCAGGTGAAAGAAGGGAGACTAGAAAGAAGGAGAGTATTAGGATAGTGGAGAGGAAAATAGAGAGAGGCTAACATGGGATATATAAAGAATGGATATGGAAGAGTCAAACTGAAAATAAGGATATCAGTTACAGACAAGTATATTTGTTTCACAAGAGATTATGAAGGAATGAAGTAGAACACTGAAGAAAGCAAAGAGGGAGGAATTACAGAAATATGTAAGAAGTCAATTGTCATGACTTGTTGATAGTATTTGAAGAGTAAGAAGAAGAAGAAAGACAGAGAAGTCAAGAATAACATCCAGGCTTTTTTTTTTTTTTTTTCTCTTGGAAACCTAGTTAAACTGCATTGAAGCAACAGAAATAGAAAATATCAGAAAATTTTCTCATTTAAAAGGGTAAGATGGTTTGTTCATTTCTGAGTATCTTAAATTTTAAGCGCTCATGAGAACTGCAGGTCAAAATGTCCAACAAGCAATTGTATGTAAGACTCTAGACCTTGGTAGAAACATCTGGATTTAAAAATAGAGAAAATTGGATTTAAAAAGTCACCAGTCTGAATAAGATAATTAAGCCTATGGAAATGACAGTTATTACTTGAAGAGGATATATAAAGTAAAATAAGCAGTAAAATAAGAACAGAATAGGAAGGGATGTAATGCTTAAGAGCTAGATCGACTAAAACTCTATAAAGGTGTGAGAGAAGGAACAACCAAAGGTGTGCAGTGATAACCCGGAAAAGAGCATAGTCAAGGAGGAAGTGATTAGTAGTGTTAAAAACATTAAGATAAAGACTTTAAAAATAGTCATTGGATCTATAAATAGGGTGGTCCTTGCTAGAACAGTGTCAAGAATGGTATAAACTGATGTCATCTTTCAGTGGGGCAGAGAGTGGTTACAATACAATGTGATGGAGAGAGAGAGAGCAGAAAGTGAGACTACAAGTAGGGCAGACACGGAATGATGACTTGCCAAGAAAAGGTAGAAAGATACATGATCAAAGGCATGACTGCAAGCAATCACTGTGGATAAGAAGAACTCATCCCCTGGGGATGAGGTAAAGGCATTCAGTTTATGGCTAGGTAGACGGGAAGCTGTAAAAGCTCACACTTGAATATCCTTAACTTTATGAAACTTGTAGAAAAGAAGACTTTTATTCAGATTCCTAAGTCTTCAGTGAATGAGAAACAGTGGCTAATAGGTAAATAACCATGGGGAATGGTGGAGGATGTAGTCAGATGGCATGACTTAGGATTCCTGGGGAAAAAGAATGAGTGGTCTCAAGTGGAGACGGTCTCCAGGGAACTGATGTCCTTAGGAAGAAACAGATTAATTACAGAAGGGAGTTGGAAGGGGGTTTAAATAAGTTTTCCAGAGAGCACAAAAGACAGGATTTGGAGATGGGTCAATATTAAAAGATAAGTCAGTGGTGAGAGAAGTGACGCACTGCTCTAAGAGAAGCAATGAGTTTCAGGAGTGGCAAAGCAGGGCTGGGCATTTGCCTTTCATAATGTAGGAGCTCTGGTAGCATAGTGCTTAAGGCACTTGACTAACCAGAAGGCTGGAGATTCAAACCCACCAGCCACTCCTCGGAAGGAAGATGGGGCAATCTACTTCTGTAGTGATACTGCCTTGGAAACCCAAGGAGGGGTCGTATGAGTCAGGTCCGACTCGATGGCAAGTAACAACAACAACAACAACAACATTGATAATGTATCATAGGAATGTTCATAATAAACTAGCTCATGAACTCTCTGTATCTATCCATATATTCTGTTATTCAATACTGTGTGTTAGGTGCTAGGATTAAATCCTATGCAAGAAAGATAGGGGTTCTGCTTTGAGGAGTTTACAGCCTTATATAATTATTATCTGTATATACTATTCATTTGGCACTTACTTACACATTATCCAGTATTATTATTTAACATTTTTTGCATATCTTCTCAGACTATAAGGTAACCAATAGCTAAGCTTTCTATGGGAGGTTTCTATGTATGGAAATATCCATGTACATCTATATAGTCTAGTCAATAACTACAAAAAATAATGAGAAGTCAAACATAGATTAGCTGATTTTAGTAGAATGAAAGTACTTTCACATTGGTCATAAAATAATTTACAATTTAGTGGTGCATTTTAAATTCTAAAACATGAACTGCAATTAAGAATATTCTTTAATGCTATATGGAAAATGAATTTGCTCTGTAAACTTTCACCCAAATCACAATAAAAATTAAAACAAACAAACAAGAATATATTTTAGCAATCATAACTTTGATTAGGCAGAAACTGAAAGTACCAATATACTTAGTTATTTTATCACTTGGCATAACTACCAATAATAGCAGAGCACTATAAGAATAGATAGAAAATCTCAGATGGATCTCCATTCCTTGTTTACCTGCTTCCTCTTGATGAACCCTTATTTACCCTTTTACTATTGTTTATTGAATGTCTCTTATGTCACTAGCATAACATAACATTCCATAATTACATATGGAATACTTACTATTCTTTAGACACAACATGTAGTGTCTAAAGCATAGTAAGTATTCCATATGTAATTAATGATTTTATGAGTGAAATAATTTAAAAATGAAACAAAAGTAGCAAATGTACACAAAGCTGGTGTTCCTTATGTAACAAAATGCAATGGTAGAAACACAGAAAAAGAAAAGAAGAAAATTCAGCCTATAAACTCACTAAGAGTCAATTAGACTCATAGCGACCCCCCTTGGGTTTCCAAGGCAGTATCTCTATGGAAGTAGATTGCCCAATCTTCCTTCCGAGGAGCGGCTGGTGGATTTGAACAGCCATGCTTCAGGTTAGTAGTTAAATGCCTTAGGCACTACGCTACCAGAGTTCCCAACTTAGCCTATAGTCATGTGTGATTCTTTAAGATTTTGAAGCAAAGGATATACCTACCGAATACATTAAGACTAAAACTTTTGCTCTTGTCACCAGCTGTGTTAGAAGCCAAACATGTATATCTCCCAGTGTGTAATACTTGAGCATTGGTGATTTGAAGAAAACGGCCACCAGACATAATGTGGTGGCTCTCATCTTCCTGGAGGAGCTGTCCATCTTTGTGCCATGTTATTTCTGGGACTGGATTCCCTGTAAGAAAAACTCATTTCTGAGAACTGGCTAATAATCACATTTACAATTGATGAACTGAAAGTATTTTCACTTATTTGTGTTTTTTAAATATTCAATTTCTAAAACAGTATAGTAATAAGTTCATTTAAAAATAAATTTATAAATATAATCTATTTTATAATAATGATTATGCCATAATTTTAAAAAGAATATATCTTAACAATCATAACTTTGATTGTTGTTGTTGTTGTTGTTATGTGCCATCGAGTCAGACCTAACTCATAACTTTGATTAGGCATATGTATATAAGTATAATATATACATATATTACTAATGGCTATCAAATATGCATTATTTTTTGTCTATGAACTTAAAAGATTCTAAACTGGCTTTTGTGCTTGACTAAATGTTACCATGTCTTGGACTATTATAATTATTTTATAGTAGTGGTACTTAGAAAAAAAAAAAAAAAGGGAGTGGTGTCAACAAAATGGTGGTGAACAGTTCCAAACTCCAGTCCCTGCACAAAAACATCAAAAACAAGCAGACACTTTCAAAATCATCTCTGTCACAACTATGGAAATCAGGCAAAGGTTTACAGCAGCCAAAAGAATGTTGAATCAAAAAACAGGCAGCTTGAAAAGGTAGTAAAACTTTGTGGCATTTTTACTTGCACCTGTTCTGCCTCCCTCTCCAGGTTGGCAGCAGTCTTGAAGACTACAACCTGCATTCCCAGTGTGAACCCTGGCCCTTGGCTCCAGGAGGAGTAGAACATATCTTTTTTTTTTTTTTTAGTAGAACACATCTTATTTGCAAATTATTTTTTGTTGATCTCACTTGTCACCTGTCTAGAGACTACATGAAGGACTGAAGCAAGGCCTCTGTATCAGTTAAATCTAACTCAAAATTGCTCAAAAACATTGTAAGGGAAATGAAAAACCCACAGCCACTTTGAGCAAGAGATTATGATTGAGACATACAATAGACTGTTTATATTCTTGTTAGGGAGGCTGGAAAAGGGTTTCATTGGAAAATCCGGGTATCCAAAAGGACTTCTTTATACTGATAAATTTAGGAAGCTACACTCAGAACCTGAGAAGACGTTAAAGTTTCAATTCTGGTTGATCTCTTGGCTCAGTGTAAGCAGAAAGTGAAGGCAAAGGCCAAGTTGTAAATGATCAGGCTAAGTGTTTAAAAAGATCCAACTATAAAAAGCCATCCAAAAATACCAGAAGAAGTTTTGTTGTTTGTTCCGTTTTATTTTTGTAGTTTTTACTGTTCACAGAAATCTGTTAAAACACTGGCTGAACACAAGCTAAAGTGAACAGAGATTGTAATGACCACACATGACAAGGACTATAGTCTTTGTGGTGTGGAAGGGGTGGAATTAAGGAAATAGAAAATTGCAGCTTTCAAAGACCAATATTATGAAACCCTGGGAAAGGTAAAGAAGCTGTTTTCCAGAGTTGTCACAATATATGTTTAAGTGCCCTGTTTCTAACAAAAATATAAAACAACAAGTCATACAAACAACAGGAAAGGAAAGCTATTCAAAGAAAAAATAAGTGAAACCATGCCTGAGGAAGCACAGACTTTGTACTTACTAGATAAAGATATTTAAACATTGTCTTAAATATGCTTAAAGAACAAAGGAAAACAAAAATAAAATGAAAGGAAATCAGGAAAATTATATATATTAAATGTCAACTGTTGACTTAAAAATGGTTACTTTTATGTTATGTTGAACCTCATCTATAAATTATTTTAAAAATAATGGAGCATACACTTTTATTAAGATGATAAATAAGGAATGCCTTTGTATTCATGATATTTTTCAAAGAAGATTTTATATATTTGAGAAAAAAAAACTAAGAAATAAAATATCTAATTAAACAATTTGAGAAGCATACTTTGAGCTTAAGCCAGGATTTCTGGCACAAGTAGGTAGGGAGATAGATCATCTATCGCATTAGTAGCCACAACCTATACTTCTAGTTGAGACACTGGCAGTTTGAACCCACCTAGAGGCACCAGGGAAGACAGGACTGCTAACCTGCTTCTGAAAGATTACAGCATTAAAACCCTATGGAGCAATTCAACTCTGTATACATGGGTTACCAAGAGTCAGAATCACCACTACCAACAACAACATAGAGAAAAGGTCTTATATTTGCTTTAAAATGGGACTTATGTTAAATATTGACTTTTAAATTGTTCAAACAACTTTAATTTTTTTTTTTTTCCCTAAACCACAAAAGCAAATTCTGTTAGGATAGAGGGCTAAGGTGATATAATATTAAAACTGGAAGGCTTAAAGTCAAGATGTGGTAAAATGTAGGCATCTGGTCTCTGCAACAAAAAAAAAAAGCACACTTGCTGCCATCAAATCAGTTCCAACTCATAGTGACCCCCCCAAGGTTTCCAAGGCTATAAATCTCTATGGAAGTGGACTGTCTCATCTTTCTTCCATGGAGCAGCTGGTGGGTTTGAACCACTGACCTTCTGGTTAGCAGCCAAATGCCTTAACCACTACACCACAAGAGCTCATTTTTCTGGTCTCTAAAGAAGTTATGAATTGCCACGTTAATATAAAAATATTAACAGACTAATATATGTCACACTCCTTATGTCTGCTTTTTTTAAAAAATAAAGTTAGAAAAACATTTCTTTGCTTATTTAAATTTATTGCAAATGCAAGGTACATAAATAATGAAATAAGAAACTTATAAACTCTTCCTTAAAAAAAAAAAAAAAAAAAAAACACTTCCTGTAAAATGCTACGGGCCACTCTTGTTGTTCCTTTAAAACTGCAAGACCAACTACAGACTTGAGACTGTCCTTTTTAAATATTTGTTTACTCTGACGAGATTGGGTATGTTCAGAGCAGTAAGGCTGTGTTGCCGTTGTTGTTAAGTGCCATCGAGTCGTTTTCGACTCATAGCGACCCCATGCACAGCAGAACGAAACACTGCCCGATCCCACGCCAGCCCCACAATCCCTGCTATACTTGAGTGCATTATCACAGCCACCGTGCCAATCTATCT